TTGCAATGTATATTTTGCGCATCAACTATCCTTGCCCGCCCCAATTTACAAGGGAGACAGCTTGCAAACTCTCTCGGCCGCAACCCAGGATTAAGGGCCAGGTTTATACTTCGTGTTCAGACCAGCCCTGCGTGGAGAAACTGCTTAAATTATTTTGTATCTAAGGAGCCGACTTACACCACCGGGATTAGACTAAGGGGTGGAATTCAGCTGGTTTAGACCGGTTCGCGAGAACCGGATGTTAATTTTACATCTGGTTCGCTGAACCGGTAGTTGCAAGGACTGGCTGGCCCCACCCAGCCCCTCCCAGGAGTCTCCACACGGCCCATTCATCATGCCATGTAAGTGCAGGACCCGCGCAGAGGCTCTGGGAAGGCGAAAAACAGACCTCCCGGAAGTTCCAGAAATGGGCCTGTTTCCGGAGGGCCTCTGGAGCCCGGGAGAGACCGTATTCGCCCTCCTGAAGGCTGAAGGAAAGCCTCCGGAGCCTGGGGAGGGTGAAAATGCACTCCCACTCCCACCGTGGTGTAGGAGGCTAAGTAGGCCATGTCCACCATGGCCACGCCCACCCAGCAACAGGGCAGAGAACCGGTTGCTAACGTTTTTCAATCCCACCCCTGATTAGACTGTCTTATATTCTTTAATCAAGTCAAGAGAAAGGAGTAAAGAGTTGTAGCGTCAAGCTTTGTAACTAAGCCATCTTATTCTCCCGTGTCCAAACCAGTGTTGGGTTCTGGATCCCGGCGCAACTGGTACAGTGCAACGGGGCGCAGCGGCCACCATAGGAACACATGCAGCGTGCACGCACACGCATGCATCCTTACCACCTGCGACGCCTGCGTAATGCTCCAGCTGCTTGGCGGAGCGTTGCGCAGGCGCCGTATGCTGCGCGCGCATGCACAGATGGCCCATTTCCTTCAAATACAGGTAAGGAATGAGGGCGGGCGGCTGGGCCCTCCGGAGCACCGTACCAGAACGGTACCAGGTGCTCCCGGCAGGCGCCGGTACGCCCGTACTGGGGCTTACCGCCTGCAACCCACCACTGGCCCAAACCCTCCATTTCTCCTAATTGAAAGCAAAGAGGACGACCCTGCAATTAACCCTTTCCTGTTGATTTACCTGCAGCTTGAAAGAAAGTTCAAGTTTTAGGGCCCTGAGATCGTCCAGCTGTTGCCTGAGCACCACAAGAGCATCCTGCTTCTCGCAAACGTCTTTTTCCAGCATCTTCATAGCCAGCTCCATCTCTTGTCTCATTCCGATCTGCATTTCAAGCTCTTTCTCCACGTCCTAAAAGCAGGCATACACGCACACACACACACATGCACACACATTACAGGCGAGAGTTTGAAGGTCTGAAAGACTCTTTCTCCCTAAACAAAAACAAAAAAAATCACTACCATTCAAGAAACGGTAGCAACGAGGGCAGGGTGACCTTTTTCCATTCCTGCAGAAGATGGAAGAATGTATGAATTCTCTTAGGCTGAGTCCGAGAGAAAAAATCTTAGCTCGCTGCAAGGAAACTCAGAACAGGTCTTTTTCTGACCCCGACAATGATCAAAGGTATTATGGGGTATGAACATACCAGGGCATCAAAACAATTTTTAAAACGGAGGGAGGGGAATCTGGCATGTAAACAGCTTCACGTCTTAGTCATTTTTGCAGGCACTTCACACCTTTTCACAAGCAGGCCACGTTTTCTGATGTATTTTCTTTGCAAAAGCCTTTGATGTGAGAAAATGGTATTCAACTCTTTTCCTGATATTAGAATCATTCCGAATCGTGTGTGTGTGTGTGTGTGTGTGTGTGTGTGTGTGTGTGTGTGCACACACATACACATACATGCATATACATCAGAGGTGGTATTCAGCAGGTTCTGACCAGTTCAGGAGAACCGGTAGCAGAAATTTTGAGTAGTTTGGAGAACCAGCAAAAACCACCTCTGGCTGGCCATGCCCCCATCTATTATCTGCCTCCCGAATGGCTGGCCATGCCCCCATCTATTATCTGCCTCCCGAATCCCAGTTGATCGGGAGGAAATGGGGATTTTGCAGTATCCTTCCCCTGGAGTGGGGAGGGATTTTGCAGTAACCTTCCCCTGCCATGCCCACCAAGCCATGCCCCGCCCACAGAACCAGTAGTAAAAAAATTTGAATCCTACCATAACTGTACAAAACATTAAAACCAGAAAATGGATATTGTGATTTTTGTGACTCTGACAAATTCCAAATTCCAGGATCCCTGTACACTGACTATGCTGGGCTGAACTTACAAGGAGTTGTAATTCTGCCCTAGCTTCTCTTCACCTGCGAAGCACCTTACCAGTCTTAACTGTGTTTCCTCTTTCAGCTGTTTCCTCGCTTCGGTGAGGGCATGCCCGTCTGCAGTCTTATTTACCTATAATGAAGATGTCAACAAAGCAAAGAGGATGAGTAACAGAGATGACTCCAGAATCGCTTGGTAGTGAAATGGACAGCATGTACATTTAATAAATACCGTATTTTGTGGAGTATAAGGCGCACCTTTTTCCCTCAAAAAAGAGGCTGAAAATCTGGGTGTGTCTTATACACTGAATACAGCATGTTTTGCCTTCTGAAACCCCGCCCCTTCACCAAAATGGTTGTGCATTGCCTTTAGGAGGCTTTCAGAGTGCTCCTGGGTGCTGGGAAGAGCAGAAATGAGTGAAAAAGGGGTGTTTTAGGAGGTACTCTATAAGCCTCTTAAAGGCTATGCGTGCCCTTTTTTGACAAAAAACAGGCCCATTTTCGCGAAGAACGGGTCGTTTTTTGCTCATTTGGGGGGGCACCCCCAGGAGCACTCTACAAGCCTCCTAAAAAATTAGTCATGCCCTTTTTTTGGGAAACAAAATGGGCCCGTTTTTGCGAAAAACTGGCTGCTTTTGGGAGATTTGCAGAGTGCAAAAACTTTTTTTTTTTAATTTGCCTCTTCGAAATCTTGGTGCGTCTTATACTCTGAAAAATACAGTAAATAATAAATAATTGATGGAGATTAGTGCTGTCTCTTCCAAGCACAAGGTTAAGACTCTCTGAGAATCTTCACATTAACCCCCACAAAGCTAATCATTTTTTTTTTCTTTGGAGTTTTTAATCCCACTTTTATTATACTGTGCTTCCCCAAAAATAAGACAGGGTCTTATTTTCTTTTGAGCCCAAAAATAAACACTCGGCCTTATTTTCGGGGAGGTCTTATTTTTGAGGTGCAGGAGGCGGCGAGCGTAATTACCTCAGGGCTGCTGCTGTGTTGCAATATTTTCGGGGAGGGCTTATTTTCGGGGGTGGGACTTATTTTAGCGTATGCGCTCAAAAGATTGGTTGGGCTTATTATCTGGGGAGGTCTTATTTTCGAGGAAACTGGGTATTTACAACTCAAGGCACCGGACTTACCGAATATCCTCCCTCCTCTTATTTCCTCCACAGCAACAACCCTATGAGGCGAGTTGGGCTGAGGGAGAGAGTGACAGGATCTGTAACATGGACACATTTGATAGGATCTCTTTATTTTCAGTCCCCTTCAATCTTCCGCTTTCTGCTTATGTTTTGTGTTATCGGTCGTCCTCGCTTAACCAAAGTTAAGTTGGGACCAGAACTTCTGTCAGGAAGGGATTTGGCTGTAAAGTGCGACGTCACACGGCTGCACCACTTAAAGAGGCGGCAGTTTGGTAGTCCATCTGTTGATGGAATTGTTTTGTGGAGTGCCAGGCACAGACACACTGACCTACAACCAGCCTACAAACCCCTCAGAATCAGGGATGGGCAGCTATGGGTTCGCCCGGATTCGGGAGAACCGGTAGCTAACAATACGGCTGGTTCGGAGAATCTCCAAATCCCACTCCTGGATGGCGCCTCCCACCCCTCCCATGAGTTTCCACGCGGCACGTTTTGGATGCAAAGTAAGTGAAGGGCTCGTGCGGAGCCTCAGGGAGGGGAAAAAACAACACTGGAGCCTGGGGAAGGTGAAAACAGCCCCCCCCCCGCCACGGTGCAGGAGGCCAACTAGGTCACGCCCACCTGGCCACGCCCACCCAGCAACCAGGCAGAGAACCCGTTACTGAAATTTTTGAAGCCCACCCTTGCTCAGAATCCAAATCAACTGCAAAGCTGACCAGAGTTAACCGCCAACTCTCAACTAACCCACACAATTCCCCTCAACCAGCAGTTCACCTCCCAATGATCCTGACCTGAGGTAATCTCCTTATCACCAGATTCACCGATGACTCACATCTGACCCGTCACAAGAACCTCGCTTGATACACCCACACCTGAAGCTCTTATTAGCAGAATACTGACCCTAACATCCCATAAACTCTGCTGAAGATGTTATCTAGCCTGGTAACAAAAGGTTCAGAAACCGACCCACGAGTTCGGAGAACAAGCCTTCATCCTCATCCTACACCCGAACTACGGATATTCGCCACTACCGCGAATAAAGACGTCTCATCAAATGAACCACGTCACGGAAGCATAAGTGAATGTGAAAACAGTCCCCAACTGCCGCATGCAACATGCACATAAATCCTGACCTTTCGGTTGGATTCCAAAATGTACGAACTCTCCTCTTTGACTCGCTCCATTTCTTCTTGCAGTGTTATAATTCTGTTGTTTGCGACGGCAAGCTGCGTTAAACACAAGAACACAAATGAAAAGCTACAATGGTTGTCCCTCTCAAATAATTTGGAGTTAGGGGCTGCAAATCCACCTGCAGCTCCCTTTCTCTCTCTCTATCAACACACACACACACACACACACACACACACAGACACAGACACACACACCAGTGGTGGGTTTCAAATTTTTTTAGAACCTCTTCTG